GTTGAGTCCCAAGCGCATTCTCCTTCTCTCTTCGTTCACAAAACGGTTCTACCGTTTACGCATTCCTCGCAGGCACTAGGCTACGCGTTTCCAACCGCGACCTCTGATTCCCTCCTCGGTTCTACCGTCTATTCTCCCCGTTTATTTTCGCTCGTGTCTTTCTTCTATCTTTCAACGTTGTCCTCTCTTCCTCGCCCTTTCTTCACCTTTCTCCTGCCCTTTCCTGCCGTTCCATACTTCGCGTCCATCTCTTTCAATAAACTTCTTCGAGCCACTCCGTTCTGCGTGACGTGCGCGAGAGGAATGTTTGCGATCTCGCCCTGCTAGTTTGCCTGAATCCGAATCGCTATCGTGACGATCGTAAGTGATTTGTAAGATCGGCAAGATGTCTTCATCAAGTGCTAAGCAATATCGGATCTTTCGTTTCTCCTCTCTTAGTCCATGGTTTATTTATTACACTTCTTATCAGACTTTGCACGATCATAACATTGATCTCGCCTCTATGTTAAATTAGATTAAATTAAACTGACTCAAACAAGATATCGTGTTCACTATCGTGCTCTGCAGTATTTGCAATCTTACATACGATCGACGTTTTCTGAAAGTGACTTTGATACCAATGTAATAATATCGTTATATCGCTACTTTCGCGTATTTTATCTACGTCGATTGCGAGAAAAAGTACGAAAAAGATATGCGAGATGTTCACGAGTAATTTTCAAAATAAAATAGAAGATAGAGACATTCACGCGAAAGAATGGAACGTCGCGGAACGCTATGGATATTTGCATTTTGCCGATTCACTTCCAGTCGTAAGAACACACTGGCTTTTTTTTCAGCGTGTGTTGTTCTCTTTTATGTAATTCCATGCAAATCGGCGACGCTAAATACTCGCTTTCTGTGCGCCTATTCAAAACTGTAAGGTAACGACAGCGACAGTCGTACCTAGAAGGCACAATGAGCAATGGGAGAAATATTCACTTGACCTCACGCACATGCCGTTTCTTACAAGCATGGCTTGACATAGGTCGTTCGTGCACACGTCTAATATATTTCACTGTTACATGTCCGCGCGGAGCAGCAGTTATTGCAGGAATATTTTTACAGAGAATTATGCAAACGAGATCTCTTTCTAAATAAAGTGTGGCATATTTCAAAAATAACGAAGAGATTTGCTCTGAACTGTCGTTCGTCGCATCGCATTTGAATAAGTAATTTAAATGCTCCCCGATATTCAGCAAGTTTTCAGAGATTACTAGGTCAGCTATTACATTAAATCTTCAATGTTATAAAATTGAATAGTTGTGTGCCAGCTATTATTTCACAGTGTTTTGTAAAAATAACTGATGGGAAACTACATTTTATTCCAGATGTAAATAAAACCACTGGCAATGGAGTGACTAGCTGAGTCACTATATTCACGTTGCAAAATCTCTCACGGATATTTGATAAGAAATGACCTGACCCGAACTCACGATTTACATATAAATTACGATCTCTCAAACGGCGCGACGCGTCGTATGAAAATCAAGATTGCGTTGCCATTAGAAATTGCTCTTTCTCGGCCAATTATTAATGAATCAAAATGTAACAATAATTCACACGATTTTCATATTTTGTTGAATATTCTGACTCATTTAATCAGCCTGGCGTACGTTTACCAGATATTTCAATTTCTCGTTCAAAGAACGCACGTAAATAGTTCACGACAATCGTAAAATATTTAAATCCAATTATTTCGCAGTTCAACCGCGCTCTCTGTCACAATGTCGGCCATATCTTTTCGGAGACACGCGCTTCCATTCCGTTGAATTTCCCACGGTGTGACTGATTGCGAGTTTTCACGCATTTTATCGCGTTTCACCTATCGCGTCTCGTTCGCTTCGCGGGCGGAAAGGTATGAACAGAATGTAGGTCAACTCGAGCCGATGGATGCTACACCGTCCGTCCATTGTTTTAACGCGGTCCTTGCAAACTCGCGAGCGAGTACTCGAAACCTTGAAACTCGAGCGTTCACCGCTCGCTCCGCTCCTCTCGGCGTCGTGTGCGATCGGTCGAATTTGTCGATCGACAACGTTACGAAATTGATTCGAGACACGGGAAATCGCTTGCGCAGGAAGCTTAAATTTACGAAACTCGCGTTACGAGTGGCTTGAACGCCACTGGACAAGTCTCGCAGTCACCGTGTCCACGCGCGTGTTCGTCCACCGTCCCCTCGACGAAAAGAGCGTACATTCGCGTTATTGTAGAAAATAATGCAATCCGGCGTGGCCATGAGGCGCGCGAGTTGAATTGTACGTAGGGTGTGCAGGCAGCCGTGATGCACATTAATAGGTAACACACACGCTCGTTTTACCCTCGTGCGCGCGTACACGGGTCGTGCACACGGGGCTGCCTCTTGTCGTGTGTCGTGCGCGCCTGCAACAGAGAAACCGTTCACTAACACTCGGCCGGGGGTTCCCACAATCAGTACACAATTGGACTACGAATGAGCGGCATACACGGTGAACGGAAAAAGTGTTCTCCTCGCGTTTCGCTCGCGAGCGGTTTAATTAAATAGCGCGGACAGCGCCGGCTCGTGAAACGAGCGGGATACCAGCGTGATTAAAGTGGAACGAGAATGCGTGAAATATGAAATAAAATGAAATAACCGAGTCTTGGGTCGTTGCGCGTGCCTTTACCTTGCGGATACCGGTGAACGTGTACCGCGTGGCTCTGCCGAGAAACGAAGCTTTCGATCGTTGTGTTAAAGCCGAAATTGTCGGTTTATTTATTGCGCAAACAACGCACATGCGCCGTCTCTTCGTAATCGGACGTTCGAGGTAGAAGAATTGTGAGTAGATTTGCAGACGCGGTCAGTCTGTCGGGTGAAACCGTATCGAGGGGAAAAAAGGAATTCCTCCGCAGAGTCATCGCGGAGTTATGCCAAGAATTCGTCGTCACGGAAAGCCGGAGGGGTTGGGAAAACGCGCTCGATAGTTTCTTTCGCGTCACCCTGTATGCACAGGTACCAAGCTACACACGTGTACACAGTCTGTTACGCACACGCACGTAATGCCTTACGCACACGGCTAACCGTAAACCACCAGTCTTTCAGTTCATGTCGAGACCGCGTACGGTGTGGACTCCTGCGGTTTTCGAAATCCTCGGTTCGTTCCCCGAGCGTCGTTCGCGCTCGAGTTTTCTCGTTTCGCGGCCCTCGTTCCTCTCTTCACGCCGGCCTGTCGATCCTCCGCGTCGATCATCATCGACGACAGGCATGCTCGCGTTCATCCTTGGATTCTGTTACTTCTACGCCGAGCTGCTGCGCCTCGAGTTGCAAATGCTCGTGCACCCGGACGATTGCAAGCTGTCGAAGTTCATGCTGTGAAGAAGGTGAAAAACACGCGAGCGGGAAAGGCGACAAGGCCTGCCGTGTCGAAACGCGCGAAACGGATGTGTGCTTTTCGGTCTAATGGATCTAACTTCGAGATTATAGCGAACGATTGCGACAAACGATGAGCGTCTCCTCGATGCCTTTCCGGTCGAAGGTGGGAACCCAGTTTTGCAGTGAAATCGATACTGATTTGCATGGAGCTCGCCGATTCTGGCAAATTTTCATTAACGCCGGAAGCATCGCCGCGTTAATATAATCGATCTTGCCTGCTTCGTCGACGTTCGAGACCGCCGGTTCCCGTTATGATTTCAGCCGCGGCGAACATCGAACGTGAACGTGAGAAATTCGAATTCTGACAACGCGCGCTAGTTCCGCGCATTTCGGCTCGCCGAACATGAGACATTCGAGGGGAAGGTTCGTAGATTAACGTTTCGAGTTTCATCGTTCGATCGTCGATACGTCAGTTTGGGTTGTATTTTATTCGCACACGCGAGGAACGCTTCGAGGAACGATCTTGCCCTCGCTCGCGACGAGTTTTTGCTCGCGTGTAATCTATGGGAAACACAACGGCGCGAGGCGCAACGTCCGGCTCGTTCGGTGCGGAACGAAAAAGGCCTCGCGAAACCGGGCGCATCCGCAGATACGTCGACAAGTGAAAGTGTATTTTGTAAGATGACTGTAACTGCGGATAATGGAGAGTGCAGCCGCCACCGACGCCCCAGTGTGTCAGCAACGATCGCCGAGGGCAACGGCGCTGCGTTCGTTTCTTCGGTCTCTTGGTCGTCGTTTCTGTCGTCGTCGTTGTCCCCGTTGTTGTCGTCCTTGTCGCCATTCTCAGCGTTGTTGTCCTCGTGACACGTCGCGCCTCATCATGGACCCGCGTCCTCAAGCGCAGAGAAAACGACGCGCAGTTGCAAACGTGATTAGCCGAATTAGCGCTACGCTTACGAAGCTCGGTGACCTCGCGACTATGCTCTTCATCGATCTCCATTAATTATTCATGACTTGGTGACTTTCCTCCGTCGTTGAAGAAAAACCGACTGGCGTTGGTTATGCGCGTGCCTCTGCCAAGGTCGCCGAAGCCACCACCGCAAGAAGAGGAAGAGGAAGTCGAAGGGGCATGACCCTTGGAGCAATCGGTGAAAGGGACGGAATTCGAACGTCGATCGTCTTTTACAGTCGCACGTGGATCCAACAACGACAGCATGGAGACTATATTGAATTGTAATATCGAGCAAGTTTGCTAGTTTTCTGAAAGTATACACACTGTGCTAGATCCGATAACGCTGCTTTACACAGTGAACGATCGTTCTCACGATAACAGCTATCATCGTCGATACAATTTTCTCTCATCTTTCCGTCCATCTTCTTCCCATTTCTTTTTCTTCCATCGAGATCCGAAATTTATCGTCGGTGAATAACAACAGGTTGTACGCGGCACTTCGCGCGGCCAACAGATGAGTGTTTTCCTGTCGTTAACTCCGTGATTAAGAAAGCCGGAGTTAACTCTTCTCTCTCTTTTTCGCGGCAACTTTTGGTCGTACTGTTTCCCTAACGAGCCTCGGTGCAGCAGGCGCCTCGTCACCTGGTAGTCATGCGAAGTTTTCTCGCTGCTGTATTACAGACCTGAATTTATGGAACAAGAGCATCAGTCAACGATGGAGGAAGCTGAGGAGGAGGTGTTCCGTTCAGGAGACCTCGGAACCTCAGGAGGCTCTCATACAAGGTGGAACGACCCAGGGGGTTATTCAACCGATAAGGTCCAGTTCGGCCAGCAGGGAGTCCTCGCCTGCTGCCAAGAGCCTCCAGGACGGCAGCTCGCCGAAGAAATTGTTACAAACAAGCTCCCTGAGATTGCCAGGTAATTACGTTACGCTTTCAATTACATATTTACATTGCGAGACGTATTAAGGACATTCACACGTAACAAACAATGATCTGAACCTCCGTTTTAGGCACCACCAAGGGTATAGCCGACATTCAGCACGTATTACGAAGCAAATTCAGCAAGATAAACGCTGGCATCCGAAAGAGGAAGGCTCTGAGCGTGACCGAGGTGTTCTCGCAGAAGGATAACGCGTCGAATTTCTACGTGCCCAGCCCCTTGACCTCCTCGAGTAGTCAAAAGTTCGACGGGGAATACGACTCTGGCGAGCCGACTTCCCTTCCGCCGTATCCGTTCCACGACAATCTCGAGACGCTGGCAGAGGGTAGCGTGCCGAATTCACCGAACTGCAGCAACAGCCCGCTGACCAGCAACAGCAACAAGACGTTCACGTACTCGCGGAGCAGCAGCGCGTACGACTCGCCGGTCCTCAGTCACGATCACAGCCAGAAGGACGCATACGAGAACGTTTTGTACACGAGCTCTTCGTCTCCCGGCTGTTGCCCGAGGTCCAGGGGCGTGTTACAGCGCAGCAATTCCGAGAATCGCGACGCTGGCCGACATCAGGACCACTCGTACGAGAACGTGCGTTTCCAGCGTGGCCACAGATCGGAACTGACGCCGTCCGTCACTCCACATTCCGACAGGCATCTGGCGAGAAGCAACTCGGAGACGAGGGACCATCACTCGTACGAGAACGTCCACTTCCAAAAGAGCTCGAAGCCAAGGAATCAGCCCGACTCGTCGTTCGAGGAGATTCACATACCGAGGGTGACGCCGAGGAAGAGGATGACCGATTTCAAAGTCGGCGGACAGGTGAACAGTTACTCGAACGGGTCTGGCTCTCCGGGCACGAACAAGGAAGACGGGCCGTCCAGCTTGGGGGCTGAGAGGAGCCCTGGCAAGAAGACGACCAGACGAATGAACAGCAGGAGCGTCGCCAATATTCCTAGTTCCTCCGGTTCCGGCTTGAAGACTTGGCAAGTGAGTGAAGAAATGACGTGGGATTTCTTATCTTGTTGTCTCTTTGAACTGAACTTGCGAATTCATGATTTTTTCTTCTTTTTCTTTCTTTTTTTTTCGTTGCTTCTGTTCAACGGAATCAGGGTACGCAAGATACGGACGAAGGCCTGAATACCGACTCCGAGCTCGAAGACATCGACGAAGCCGGCGAGGGTGAAGAGTCGAGATTCTGCACCCTACCAAGGCCAGGCAAGGGTGGCGCGTCATTCACGATACTGACAGCCAGATTTCTAAAGGGTCCTGGACACAAAGGACTCGGCTTCAGCATCGTCGGCGGTACAGACAGTCCCAGAGGGAATATGGGAATCTACGTAAAGACGATCTTCCCTAATGGCCAGGCGGCCGATCTTGGTACCGTCAAAGAAGGTGCGATATGTTAACTCGTTGTTAATTCGTTTCACGATTCTCGCAGACGTCTCTGTCTGATTATTGTTGATATATAAACACGTTGCACCTGCAGGGGACGAAATTTTGTCGATAAATTCGAAACCTCTTCACGGTATGACGCACGCTGAGGCGATCGCTGAGTTCAAGTCCGTGAAAGCTGGGGACGTGGTTCTGCACGTTGGACGTCGCGTCAGCAGAAAGAAGAGGGACTCGCTGACGTTACCACCTGCCGGCCCGGCTCCTCCTCGTCAGCAAGTGAAATGAATCGTTGATCTCTTTCCACTTTCATTCCGCGTGAAAACGTTTTTGTTTTCCATTCAAGCGCTAACGTAGCTCGCATCTTTGAACCAGATGCCTTCCTCCTTTAGGCAATGTCGTTCGTTTGTCACTATTGATAACGCTGATGACTACGTTGATTCCGTTCTATGACGAACCAATCTCGATTTTTATTTTTCGCTTGTACTCGGTTTGTTATTTAAACATTCGTTGTTCGAGGTCTGATGGAGAATACGTTTTTTCGTCGTGCGACGAAAGCTGTTGAAAGCTGTGAACTAAAGAAACGTCGCTGTTGAGACGAGAGATTGCCTGTCTTCGCATAAACGTTTGCAAAAGTTCAACAGATTGAACTCTCGAGAGATATTCCTGTCTATTATCGCGGTAACGAGGATCGTATCGTCGTTCGAATTAAAGAGGTGAGACGAATGTAACGAGCTGTCGACAAATCAAAACAATGTAGTCCTATGATATCGTGTACTATCTACTCGTATTCGATGTACCAACATATCTAATCTCGATAACCTCTAATCGTTCTTCCAATAATCACCGTTAATTGTCATCGTAATTACTGTTGGCGTTGTAACAGCCGCTACCAGGCTCTAGCTTTCGTACATTTTCTCGTATATCGGAAACTTTTTACAAGCGAGGAGAGTGTATTTTTGTCGAAGATTTTTAGCCGGTCGGAGCGAAGTTCTATTTTTTCAAAGCGATCTTGATGTCGAGTCGTGAAGATCCGAGTCCTCCGGCTAGTCTAGCAGATTGCAATTTATTTTTGTAACGCGCGAGCCGTCACGGGAGGGAACGTAGCTCGAAACTGTCGCACGAAACATCGAACGCACCTATCGTTGACCTGTCGACGAATCGAGAGAAGAAAAATAAGAGGGTGGCGGAGTGAAAAAAAAAAAGTAGATGACGTAGAAAAAGAGCGACGTTCGCTCGGAACGCTGCGATCTCTGAAACGGCCTGAACGAATGGGGACGCGCATTCAACAGGACGTCCAATCTTCCGCGATTTGTTGCGAGCAAGGATCGAATTATTTTTTAACTACCTTTGCATAGAGTAACGACGATCGCCCAAAGATGAAACCCAAAAAATATTTTTACTACAAGAAGAACGAGACGCGTAGAATGGAGATATACGCATACTATAGAATTATATTATATATAATATATATAGAAATATATGAATATACATTATATAGAAATATATATATATATATATATATATATATATATATATATATATATATTTTTTTTTTTTGACGAATATCGAACGAGACACGTTTGTTTCAAGGCGATGAAATTATTATTGTTATTAGTATCTAGTCCGTCTGTAATATCTTTCGTTTCGATTCTTTTCCTTTCCTCTCTTCTTTTCTTTTCTTTTCTTTTTTTTTCTGCTCTTTTCTCTCGTTTTATATAGCTATCGATATCGGGAAACAAACGAGAAAAAAAATATATATATATATATATACACACACACATACATGTATCTATATGGTGATATACATACGATTATATATTTCTTATATCGATTTTTCAAGGTGTAACGAAGCCAACGTGAGCGATCAATAAATTGCACTTGAAGGTATCGCCTGTTCGGACGAAGTTGCTTCCCGAACATATTATTTTTATAATAACACGATTGTGTTGCGCGTCCGTTTGGGGAATTCGAGCCCATGATTCGCCAATTGCAAAACTACTTAAAACTACTGAAAATTTGAATTCTCTTTGATACTTTAATGGAACTTGAATTTAACGAAACAAACGGCTCGGGATTCTTCAAGCGCAACGATAAATTTCAATCTCTAATCTTCATCATTCCATCGTCACGTATTCTCGGTTTTTAATGTTTAAGGAAAAGTTAAACCAATGGTTGAGTAAAAGTTGACGTTAGCAGAAATGAATCTGATCGGTGTTCGTTGTATCGAAAAGCGAGCTTTTCATGCTTTGGATATGTTTCTTCTCGCAACGACAAATGTAAATGCACAAATTCGCAAGTTGATCAATACAGTGTTTCGCGTAGATCTTCTTGCTCGTTTGAATTGCTGTACAATTCATACTTGCCGCGTGTTGTGAAATTCACATCGTGGGAAACCGAAAGACCGCAATGGCGCATGTAACGTTCCTAATATTAACGTCACAGGCAGCCACGAGAACGTAACATTCCCAAAATTATAAAATCAATGTGAAGAAGTTCTTAATATTTTTCTTTCGCTTTCTTTTTTTAATATGATATACCTACAATATAGCTCGACAGCAAGTGTCAAGAACGAAATGTCGCACGTTGGCGAACAAATTTTCCTCCTCGTCTTCCTAACGAAGAGCGCTCGTGATCGAGCATCGAAATCACTGGCGAGATCGATCAAGGGATTTAGTGGGCAGAATGAGACGAATGTTATCGAACCGTTTCTTTTTGGCTTTATTAACCATATGCATATCCAAAAACGATTACAACGATCTGATTCGTTCGTAATTTCTACCCTGTTACATTGTCAATGTTTGCGTCGCTTGATTCGTGCACGATATATATCCTATATTATATTATATTCGGCAGAAGAACGGTGGTTATCAATCGTTCGACCTCATTCTGTTCGATGCTCTACAAAGGTCTTTCCACGATCAATCGACGATCCACGCACACGACGTGTGTTTAGAGGGGCAGTGCGGTTATTTTTTTAATTGGGGAGATGAACGCGTTAAGAAATTTTTATCGCTCGATGGCGTATATGTATATGTATATATATATACATCTGTTTGACGATAAATATGTGTAAGTACAACTCGATATTGTTGCATGGACACGAACTACTTGCAGGATAATTACTGTATTTTCTACTTACTATGCGGAATCGAGAAAATAAATAAATAGTTCGCATAATGCTCGAGCTTGCAGCCATCGTAACTGCACACTCTCCTGTGATAAACATCCACGTATGTTTTATATATATATATATATATATATCTTACTTCACTTCTTCCCCGTTAACAATTATGATTGGTGGTTCGTTTCGTTCATCCAAACTCGTCGTACATCCTCGAAGAACCGCGAGCGTTAGCGATGCTTCGAGCGAAAGAAATTTACGCGGAGAGGGAGAAGAAAAAACGATCACAATTGCGAGAGATCATTCTGACAGAGATGATCAGAGAGAAAGAGAGAGAGAGAGAGAGTCGACCAGTCTCCTCGAAATGAACGAACGATAGCCCGATGGCGAAGCGTGGTCGTTCGTTGGTTAGTCGAGAATTAAAGAAAAATGGAGTAAGCAACGAGGTACGAAGGGAAAGGAGGGCAACGGTAATAAAATTCTGCCCCTAACTCGTCATGAGAATACGATCTACGTGTGAGATAGCCTAAACTCTACGTTTTAATTATCATCCTGAATCGATCGAGTCGAATTCGGAAGGCAACGGGCTTCAGATCTCGTTCACGTGTTGATGAATATTGTACGCTCTTCCGCCTCTCCTCGACTCCTTCGGCACCACCGCCAGCTCTTGCGGTACAATTTTCATCGGGTCCTGAGTCATTCTCTCGTCCGAGCTCTTCTCCGACGAGAACAATTCCGGGGGTTTCGAATAAACGAACGTGGTTTCGGCTCCGTTCGACTGGCCGATCGTCGCCGACCCCTTCAACACGTTGTCTTGAGCACTGAGCAGTTGCTTGAACCGTTCGTCGTTCTTCTCTTCTTGGTCCCAGTGTGCTCGAGCGGACCTGGACGTGGTCGATGGTGTGGAACGTTGCCCGCTCGCGTCTTGACTGTTCCTGCTGTTGGTCAGATTTAGCTTCGGATTCAGATTCAAACCGAGCCATTGAGAGAAGAGAGCTATCCCCTGTTCCGCGCTGGCTGACACCGCCGCTATGAACTCCTCGGTGTTCAACGAGTCGTCCTCGTCCTCCGTGGTCTCGGTGGCCTCTGTCGTCTCGATGGCGCTACGAGAAAATTCGAGATGCAAGGGAATTAACGATGAAACCGCTCGCGATCGTACCACGACGATGGAAATCGTATACGAATTTGACGACACCTTCGATATCGGTGCAATGCTCCCGGTAATGGGACACGCGTTGCGTGTACCGATCGTGAAACGCTTTTTAGGATCGTACTCACGCAGAGGCTTCGATCTGCCGCACCACCTGATTGAAATTGAAGCATCCCATGTGGTAAGTGGCTTGCGGTGTGCCCAACAGAGCCGGCTCGATCACCAGGCAACCGTCGTAACCGGCTTCCGACTGTCTCATCGACGTAAATTTCGCGCATATCTGCGCCAGGTCCGACAGAAGGTTCATGCAGGTCGGCCTGTTCGACGCGTCCACTGTGAAAACGTCCAGAACGAAACTAATCTTTCCCGAGAAATCGACAACGAAATTTCCCTAATATTTCTACGTTTATAAATATCCGCTTGTAAATATCGTAAAGGATAATTCGAGATAATGAGAAATAAATCTCGACGACTCCTCACCGATCTTAATGGTGGCATTGTGCACGGGATTGTCGCCGTAGCTGAGGTTCAACGAGACGTTCTGCTCCTTTTGCTTGACGTTGATGCACGCCGGTCCACCCAAATCGATGGTCGCCGTCAGATTCAGATCGATGCAGCATAGGCAGTTGGTGGTTTGGCAGAGGCACTGGGACTGCGGCGTGGTCGATCTGCCCACAGCATCCGGAAGGTCCCAGGAGAGCAGCGTCTCTGTAGCCGAGGGGAAAATACAAGCAGACGCTCGTCAGAGAAACTGGATCGAAACGAAAGTCGTCGATCGAAAGTCGACGAAAAATATCGTCCGCGATTTCCATCCGTCGCTCAGCGTTCGCGAATCGTTTCTCCAACGGTCGTGACACCGTTTCGACATCCCCCGCGATCCGACGAGCTCGCGCGAATCTTGCTTTTCGCCGAAAAACTTGTCATTCCTCTCTCGAGGCAAAATAAATGTAAAGTAAGCAAGTAAATGCTTGCGCATCGCAAAGTGTGCCGCGTCGATGAGTCGAGAAGATGTCTATCCGCAAACTTTCTCGCGTTACTGGGACAGGCTGCTGGCCGACGTTCATTCGCGACCGAGTAGGTTCGAGCGACGAGCAAGGAAAACAGAATTTATCAATCAAAAGGAGAAAAAAAGAAAAAAAAGAAAAATCAAGTTACTAATTAAGACAACGAAACGTAGACAGGTCTGAGAGAAATTGCGATACACGGACGCGCCGTCACGTCGAAAATCGAGTTATCCCCGAGAAGAGGGTCGCGATTGGTATGCGGGATGGTCGAACCTTTGTTTACTCGGGCGTCACGTTTAATCAGCCGAACGAATTTTCCAGCCACGAACGTCGAACTTCCGCTCGTTCGCCGCGTGTCCAACCGCGGAAAATCGTGAGAAACGTTCTCGTGTTGCTCACCGAGCAGTCCAGCGGACGACACCACGACGACCGCGGTGGTCAACAGCACCAGGATCGTGAACCTGACAGCCATCACCGACGACGACGATGATCCTTGTTTCCGAAGATTCTCTCGTGGCTAGGGGAGCAACGGACTGAGAGACGACGGTTCTCGCGACGGACGATCGGTGGAAAACTCGCGGCACCAGACGAGAAACTAGCGAGAGAGATGATTCACACGTCGAGAAGGCCTGGAGATCCTGCCCAGGAATGAAGCAGCTTAAATCTGGGCACACAAAGCCGGGCGCGGGTCTCGGATCGGCGATCGGCTGGCGGTCGGCACGAAAACTGGCGACAGGATTCGCCACGGCGACGATGAGGTGCCACGCCATTGGCCGAGGTGCGGAGGTAACAACGGGCAAAGAACCTCATCTGGGTGACCGGGTGACCTCCTTCGGCAACCTGGTACCAGGAGAACTTAAGCGGCTGTCCTATCTAGCAATGCTCGGTCTGGCTATTAGGAGGGGGGCCTCGACAAAAACGACGGTGCTCTTCTTTTCGAACGACCACCATGCCGTTTAGAGCACGTCAGTAAAAGCAATTTCTTTTCCCCTGCCCCTCCGTCGCGTCCGTCTCTTCCCGAATTTTCATCGCCCCGGCGATTTCTTCGGATCTACTAACGAACAAAAGTGAAAACCGGGCAACGGCGAGAGTCGAGATTTTCATTGACACCATATTAAAAATTTAAATCGACGTTCTACCCTGTGGATATCGTAATTTTGTTTTGTTTTGTATCGCGGATATCTCGTTGCGCACGTTCACGTATAGTACGTTTCTCGTAAAAGGTATTTGTAGGTATTGGTAGTTCGCTAATAACGCCTGTTTCTTCTCTCCTTGCTCCTGTAACCTGGATCGTAACGAGCGTAATGACAGTAATACGGGATTAACGAGACCGTGATGACCATGCTCTTGCAAAGATGAATCTTTCCCGCCAATTATATTTTCATCGGCCGTACCTCTTTGACTCGTAATATTCCCCTGGCTTTCTCTGATCGATCACGCGAACACGCGGATGAAAGAAAAAAAAAAGAAAAAGAAAAAAAAAAAGAAAAATGGATTCGTAACGAAAGGAGAAGGAAAAGTGTACGCATGGCTGGCTTCGAGCCGGCTGAATCGTTCCACTCGGACACTCCGCGAAACGCGCTACTTTGCAACAATTATCACACCGATCGGTCGTCTTTCAAGGACGTCCAGAAACATTATATAATTTATCCCTGGGCTATCGTTATTTTCACGGGTCGGAGGATGCAAGAAGACGAACGGCAGCGAAATGCTCGGTCTGCTACGATTTATTAAACGGCCGATCGATACTTCATTTCATCTCCTGTTTACAAGCCAGGCGAAGCTGCTCCCGATTGGATTATGGTTTCGAAACGGAGGCTCAGCGCCCGAACGGATTATCCCGTGACGTTACGTAAAAACTCGTTTCTCTCGATGACCCACATCTCCGCGCTGTTTACCCCGTGGGATCGTTTAGAAGCCCGGGGACCGCGCGTTATCTCAAAATACCGAGAGTCGTGCGTGCATCATCGACAACAATTATCAGGCCTTCCGCAACATTTGGCAGCACGGATTCCATTGTGGTGTCCCCGTGCCAACGGACAAGTATTAACCAAGGTAAACCACTTCTGACCACTACTTTCTTCGACCCACTAACCGGAGAAAGGCTCCATCTCGACCACCGAAACACGTTTCTGACTCGGCCCCCCCATTTCGAGGGCTGATTTTATCCGATCGGCCAGCGTTTGTCATCGTATTTACGACAGGCGGGAAAATATCACGAGGCCAACGCACGATGGCCCGTAACGGCGATTGTCGCGCGGTGAACCTTGCGTGAAAAGGTAAACTCTATAAATAAAGAAGAAACGACGCGAGGCGTATCGTAGTAGCTAGTCAATTGGATACGCTGGAGGGCAACAACCAGTTTGAAGGTCGGTGAAAAGGTGCGAATTAATTGTGACGTGGTAAAAGCGAGTTGCACGTCCGACGAATAAAGAATTTCCGGCATGCTCATTGCGGATGCACCGAGCATGCGACAACCTCGCGTACCGGAGGCGTAACAGTATGGCGATAGAAATTTTCGCCTGGCTATTAGAGATCATTCGTGATCGAGGTCTGTATTATGCGTCCAAACTTGTTGAAACCTATATACAAGCTCGTGCTATGTTAATTTGAGGTAAGGCAAACGAAAAAGGAAAAACAATTTTCGAACAAACTAGATTTTCTAAATTTTCTCATCGACGTGCATAAATTTAATAGAAAATTTTCTAGGCAAAAGAGGTGAGAGGATAATTCGAACAAATCGAATGCCTCCTGTTTAATAAAAAATTTCACGAATACTTTCGACAAAGTAGGTTAATGAGCTATAAATCGCGTCAATTTCCCTCGACGTAAATTTCATAGAAAATCTCATCAGCACTTTCGACGATCGTCGTTGACGCAAATTTAATAGAAAATCTCCTGGAAATTTAATTCGAAAAATGTCACGAACACTTTCGACGGGGCAGGTTAACAAACGTTACGTCACGCCGATCTTCTCGCATCGATCTCTCCATCGTTGCAAATTGGAATCCAGTCAGGAACGAGAAACAACAACTTCCCCTTCCAGATCTCGCCTCGTTGTAAGATGATTCATCGCGATACCACACTCGAGAGAGTAAATCTTTAATGGAAGGTCGGTAGGATTCGTTCCGTGCGTACTTGACCCTGGTATCGGTCCAAGGCGAAGCGGCAAGCCACTTCCGCCTCGATTTCCAACGACGGAACCAGGATGATCCGGTTTGTGGTGGCTTGGATGATAGGCACGCTATCACCTGGCTGGTAGGGGGTCGTTCTCTTATTTACCTAGAGCGTATTAGAATGCTTAATAATCGTAGCCACGGTCGAGGCAGGTGGTGGTGGCTTGACCGACTTTTAAAGAGACCTTTAGGGGGGAGTTGGGCGGCATCTTCAGTTAGACATTGGCCTCCGTAAGACGAAGAGTCGGAAAAAAGAGCTGAAGGGTGTGACGAAGAGAGACGGTCCTCCTCGAACGATCCTCTTGCCTCCTGCACGAAATTTTCGTCTGCCTCTATTTTGTCTACCGTCACAGTGAAAACAGGCACAGGTGAGTGAAAACTACAAAATGAAAAAAACTCTCTAGTTTCGTTAATTTCTTGCGTCCTTTGTCTCTTTGCGAGACGCTTGCAGTTTCCTCGTTGCAATGCAATCGTACCTTCTCGTCAGATTTTTAATTAACACAGAGATTCTTAATTAATTCTCCGACTCTGATACTAGCTTTTCTTCGTTTAATCATATTCGACGCTCTTGAATTCGTCGGACGTTCAATTTATCAATCAGGTAGCGTACCAAGTCCGAAAGGATAGATAGATCGATACCTACGCGTATCAATCACCGTTCCTACATAACGTTCCGCGTAAAGTCGATTCACGCACGTGCGTGCTTCCTGAACCACTGAGTTGTTCAGGTACCATTCGAGCGGTACCACTTCTCGAGACAGAGACGTCTCCGGCCGTGACCGTGATTTAGGTCAACCGGTCGCAGACAAGAGGTTAGCGCGCGTCGCGACGAGCACGTTGGCTGAAACAAGAGGTGAACGTCGTTTCTCTTGACGAGTTTTTGCTGCTCGAAATGATTGATCCCATGGTCGGGGACCAGCCGCGCGTTTCACCCTCTGTTTCGCCGAGTTCGAGATCGTTAACAAGCGTGAACACGTGGTCGCGCATTGTTCTGGCATCCGGCGGGTCTGCGTGACAGACGGCGTTCCGTTAGCTTTCCTCCTTTATCCGAGCACCGCGGATAAACCTCGATACATACGTTTAATAATTGGCAGTTGTTCCATTCGAGAAAGGAACGGGACAAAGGAACAAAGGCTTTGGAAATCGCGAACAGGAAGCTGGTGGTGCTTGCTGTCCTCGTTGAAAATTTCATCGACTCTTCGCTGGTCGAAAAATGGGATATCGCGTTCGTGACGCGTCGAAATAATATTAACATGCATCGACGCGCGAGATCTTTCATTCGAGTTGAGCGGGGTCGCAGCAGGGAAGATACAGCGAATGCCAAGTGCACGGTCGACTTTCGCGAGCGCGCGGATGCGAATGACAAAAAGGCGCGCGTGTCCGTGCATATTTAGAGAGTAAACGCCGCAGAATATCAATAACTCGTCTTACATACTCGCCGTGCCTTGCCTTACAGAACCAGGAGCGAAGATGCGGCTGTCGATGGTCGTCGAACTGTTGCTGATCCTCCTTCTGATCGCGTTCGCCGCTTACGGCCGAGTGATTGGTAATGATATTCAAGAGTTTCCACATTGTTAACGTCAATTCTTCTAACGGCCTGGTAATTTCACGCGAATGGTTGGCTTCACGTTGCCGAAAGGAAACGTTTATTGAAGGATTGAAGTTAATGAGAGATGTAATTCCGAAGGATGAAGTCACTCGTTTCAGAGATCCAACCGAACGTAACTGAAAAATTTAGTTTGAATATTAAAAATTGAAAATTCTTTTAGAATATTAAATAAATGTCATTGCCCGTGTTCGTATAATCTGGAAACGTATAATTAACTTAATGTAGAAAATAGAATCAGAAAGTATACTTGAAGATTTTATCTTCTTCCGCTTCCTCTTCGTAGATAAGGGGAAAACGTACGTATGAATACACGATGAAACTAACTTAATTCCATAGAACGCGACGAGAAAGCAGAAGAAAGAGCAATTAAGGACGTGAACGGCTCTAAACAGAGTAACATCGGGATATCGACGTTATCGTTGAAACAGGCAACCGACAACGTGAACAGATACTGCACCTGCAACGAAAATATATGCAATTGTTGCAGAGACTTCCACATACCGCTGGTGCAATTACAAGGACCAGGTGAGCGTTGTGTAATTTAGTTGAACGTAGTAGAACGCAACTGTTAGAAAGCATAACAATCAAGGAAACGGGACGATGAATAGATACCAAAAGTTGGTTTTGTACATCGTGTGTGGTTTGTCCAAGGACTGTTTGGGCAAACATTGTGTGCAAGTGATCAAATGTAAATGACTCGTATAAAATGTCCCAGAAAGAGCTAGAGATATCTATGAAAATAATTTATAAAACGTATTCATCTGTAACTCATTTGTTCATCTTCAATGTTGAAAACTTGAACGTTATTCGTTCCAGGATGTGCATCCTTGCAGTACTTACAAGGAGACAATTTGGCGGTTCAGCTTAGCTTCGGGGACAATATTCTTACCAGCACCATCGTAAATGGTAAGTTCATGATTTTCAGACTCTGAAAATAACGTCACGAGTATGCACGACATTCTAGATTTATCTATTTGAAAGTTTGTGACACGGGCAGAAAAGTCCAGTGTGAAAAAGTGTGTTAATCGTTTAACAGCTCGATGCTAAAAATCTGCTGGAATTCAGGAAGCGCGTTCCGACTTTCACCGAATGTCCACACGATGCAGTTTTAGAAGACAAATTTTATTTATCGGCTCGAGCCGAGCATTCGGGCCACAAGTGTCGAAAAATCGATTTCAATTCTATGTTCGTTTGTCACGAATCAAATTCTATGTTGGAAATCGTATATTCATAACGTCGTTCGATCGATTTGCGCCGTGATCGTTCGAGGTGAAAGTCCCGCATACATTAAACAAATAAAGGAACACGTTCCCCGAACGATTCCATCTGCTATGGTTTAATCGTGGATGAATGACGACGCGTTTCACGCGATGGGTTTTCAGGAAAGAATCCCAGGCCCGTGTGCGTGCCGTTACCCGGAGGGTTCACGAAATTCTGTGGCCGAATTTATTCCATTAAACGGGACGCGAAAAATCACTTCAAAGCCTGCCTTGGACTGGAGTTGCAATCAGCAACGGAACTCGAAGCTAGCTTACGCGTTAGCTGCTTTAGGTAAACGATAATATTTCTGTACATTTCCATATTTACATTGCAAACATACGTGCAATTTCTCATTTTTACGAACAGCCTTGGTAGAAAATTATTTCATCGCAGCGGTCTATTTATAACAATAATTTCGCAATCAGAAAGAATGAAAGACTTGTGCAATCATAATGTCGCAGATTTGGCCCCGACGGTCTAAAGTTACGTCCAGCGGAACCGCTTCCGGTAGTCGAAGCTGAGGTCTCGCAAGAAGAGGACGACGATTTCTTTGGCTTGGACGATGACGACGAGGATGACGACGACGCCGAGGATGATGCACCGTTGAACAACTCTGTGCCAACCACTTCCACAGAGGAGGACGAGGAAGAAGACGACGACGAGGATGTGCTCGGATTCGGGGCTCTTTTGGACATCATAACCGGCGAAGACGAGACCACGACGAAGAAACCCAAAGTGACTACACCTGCGCCTCTCCTCCAGTTCACGATTCCAATTCTAAATAGACCGACGCCGCCGCTAGTGGATTCGAACGTCGGAGACAACGTTAGCACGAACGATTCGGAACAAGGGAACGAAGACAGTGAAGAATCCCTGAACGCGAGTGAAGAAGGCAGTGCCGAGGCGAGTGAAGAGTTTGCAGTCCTCGACGAGAGTCTGGCGGCTAACGAGACCGAAGCAGTGGTCACAGAAGTCTCGAACAAGATAGCTTCCCACGTGAAGCCGGATAAAACACCGACTAAGAAATTCACGGCGTCGGATGCAAATAGGAAGAAGCCTAGCGTCACGAGTTCCAGCGTCAACGCGATCGAGAACGAGACGAATAAGAAGAAGAAACACGCGAAGAAACCGGTTAAAGGCGAAGAAGACGACGACGACGATATTTTGGAAGACAGTCTGGACGATGACGATGACGACGACGACGAGGACGAGGAGATTTTGAGCGAGGACGACGAGAAGGACAACGAGGAAGAAGAGGACGAAGATGAGAACATTGACGAAAGTGAACACGAGAATCACGAGGACGAAGACGAGAAGGCTGAGGTTGAAGATTTGGACGACGACGACGAAGAAGAAGACGCGATGATCAGCGCGTTGGTTTACGACGAAAAAGAGAATGGAAAGAAGAAAGGTAAGGTGAAGAAGCATCAGTTGTCCGAAGCTTACGACGATGATTCTGACTACGGGTTAGGCTTAACCGGACTTTTAGCAAGAAGCAGGCATTCGAGAAATAGCGAATAAACGAAATTCCGAGATACTAGAATTCAAGTTCAGAATCCCATATTAAATATATGGAATAATCGAAAACAAACCGTGAGACGATATCACATCGTGCAATTCGATTCTTAAGCTAAGTTTAATGTTCATAATTGATGGACATGTCTGTAAAATTAACAAATTGCTGTTGGCTATGTTACGAACTATAGAGAGACTGATAATTTCTGTATTATAGATAACAAACGACGAAAAAAATTTCATAATCCTGTTTGAAGATTTTTTAATTAAAATCTAGTAAGAGGAATTTATGTAGTATAAAACTTAGCTACTGGAACGTTGTTATGATAGATAAGATAAGAGTTGCATTTAAATGTAATTTTTATATGAAATCGCCATATGAATTTGTGCAAATAATTTAATACTTAATAATAATTTAAGACGACAATCTATTTATATATGCTTATTTAATTAATTTATTGAATCTGTAATTACACGTTTATTAAATAAACATATAGCCTCTCATACAGTGCGTCTAATTTTTATTACTAATCACTGACAAATTAGATTAGATTGACAGATCTGAATATAATTAGATAAATTAAATGAAATAGATAAGATAAAATCAAAAACTGTCTTCCCAATCTTTTTTAAGTAAAAAACATAGGAAAACGCATATGTTCTTTGTTCATAGACTTATATAGCTTACATATAGTTAATACATTAATCGATACGGCTTATTATTTTCTACAAAGCTATATTATATTTATATCAGAAAGCTATCAGTTCAGCGGATTAACTAAACAATTAAACAAGTGATTTATGATCATTAGTGATTAGATCGATAGTTTACACGTACCTAAAGCATTTCAATTATCTTCGAATCGCACAAGTGTGGAAAGTTTTCGTGTATGTTATCGATAGGCACGAAACTGTATATAAACATGTTGTGGTCCCATCTCAATCAGTCTGTTCGTTTAGTCGAGAACGCGCCTTTCTCTTCTGTCCTCGCTAAAATGCTGCCGAAATTGTTTGAAGTTGTCGTGATAACTCTCGCGATACAGACTGTCTACGGTATTTCGTCTCATGATGAACACCCTTATAAAGGTATCGAATAATTTCTATGAAGATCATGGAATTAGAAAGAATTAATCCGAACGCAGATACAAATTTTAAATATTTTGTTTTTTTCTATTCGTGAAATGAGTTAAAATCACTAATTTTATTTCTTCACGTACTTCAAATAAGTACAACAGTCCATCGTATCTCGAGGATTTTACTTTTGAATCAAAGGTTTTAGTTCAAATACGTTCAAATATTTGCGTTCGAACGAAAACTTTTTATAAAGAGTATATTTTATACTGAATTAAATGTACGTCCGCCGTAATATGTATTTAACATGTGTGGTGTGTTTAGTCAGTTTAAGTGACTCGTTAATTACGTATTATGATCCGAACACTGGAGTGATACTGGAAGGAGGAAAAAATGATTCGATTGCTGCAATGATCTATCAACGTTCGCTATGCGACTTTGAAATGAACGGTCTCAGCTGTTGCGTCGGTGTTCGTTTCTTTGGTTTTAACGGTCCAGTATGTCTAAATCTCTTTAACGACACTGGCCTCGACGAGATCAGAATTCAATTAACCGCAAACGGACGGCGCCTCTTCTCGCATCTTACCTGTAAGCATTTTTTCCAATCCATTTCTTTCTTCACATTCATCGAACTGTGATATTTATAATTATTGCAGCAGCCTCAAAACGTCTATGTGCTCCATTATCTCGGTTCTCGCTTCTACGTGTTTGCGATAATATCTACCTTCATTATGAGGAATATCATTTAAAGGTTTGCGGTAGCATCGGGTTTAGATTTCTCTTCTTCCACTCTCCGTTATTCTATTTCCCATGCATTAAATTCGGCGATGACGGAATCCATTGGGGGAATTTTGATACAGAACAGGCACAGAATCAGATCACTTCGCAATCGGAACAGCAAATGAACGAACCAGAAATATATGACGAAGTGAACTTCGAACAGCAAGATTTGGAGGTTCATGACGCGCCATTGAGTCCCGCTGAAGAGGCATTAATTGGACAATTGAAATTATGATTCCTGGAAACGAATTAATCACAGAATTAAGTTAGTTAGTAGAATTAAAGTAATATATATTACTTGTATAATTATTACTAATTATAGAAATTAAAATATATAATTATGTTAGTGTACAATATATAATTATGTTAGTGTAAAATATATAATTATGTTAGTGTACAATATATAATTATGTTAGTGTAAAATATATAATTATGTTAGTGTACAATATATAATTATGTTAGTGTAAAATATATAATTATGTTAGTGTACAATATATAATTATGTTAGTGTAAAATATATAATTATGTTAGTGTACAATATATAATTATGTTAGTGTAAAATATATAATTATGTTAGTGTACAATATATAATTATGTTAGTGTAAAATATATAATTATGTTAGTGTACAATAAATTTCAGTAAAATTTGTTTAAGTTATTTCTGTTTTCGTTTCTTACTATTTCGATCTGGTATATCGACGAATAAACGATATTTCATAAAAAAAATAGTGCCGCGTCCACTCTCGATCTTCCGAGAGTGCCGATGGCTCGTCGCTCCTTTTCCATAACCGGATTATCAACGATCCACAAAAAGATGAAATACCGATGAATATACGAAGCGAACCTAAATTTCTCCGTAAAACGAGGTCAGAGTAAGATATCCGTTAACTGACCAGTCGAGTGTCGAACGCTCAACGAAGAGTACTCTCTAGCTAACGAAGAGATGTCCTCTCGCAGTGATTGAATCCCGTATCGTCAAAGACGAGAAATGAGGGCTGCCTGTTTGCTAATACTCTTCGCTGTTTTTTGCGTTCGAAGCTCCTTGCAACGAGTTGACGAAAGAACCATTGACTCGCAGAAAATGTTAAACACATCCGTGAACAATGATGCGCCGGATCTCGCGAGAAACGAAAAAGACTGGAACATGAAGAAATTGCAGCAATTGCTGAAACAAGTGACAAATTCTACCTCGAATACCACCAATCTAACTGCTGACAAACAAGGTCCCTGTCAATGTGGTGGAGGTGTCTGCGGTTGTTGTTCTAGAATTTTGTACGATACTTGGAAGCAAAAGGCGTGCGTGAACGTCACGTACGATCCGGACGAGTTCAGCTTCACCGCGAAAATTTCGATGAACGACAGAGTTTTGTATACGAGAACCGTGTCTGGTATGTTCGTTACGTATGAAATATAAAATTACTTAAATACAATACATTATTGCAGATTTTTGACGAGATCTTTCACGCTTCAGGAAAAAATCCTCGGCCGATATGCGTGCCAGTGCCACGAATTCCATTTGTTAAAGCGTGCGTCCGGTTTTATAACATTTATTTTCAGGGTAGAAATATTCACGCGTGTATAAATATGGAGGGGAAGTTCAGCGATACTACGATATTTAAGGTAAACGTGGATTTAATGGCCAAAGACGAACGGCCTCACCGTTTTTATGAATGTATTTCCAGGTCGGATTAGATTGCATTAGATTCGGTGCAAACGGCTTGGCTCTGGTAAAGCCAGAAGACGGAGGTGGACTAGGTCAACTAGAACTCTTGCCAGGTGACGACGATGATGAGGATGAGGACGATTATGATTACGACGACAACGACGACGACGACGACGATGACGATGATTTACTTGATTTCTGAGGAAACCTAAGATTCTGTTCGTGACAAGCGCGAAGGACTTAATAGTACAATTACGCATTGCTACTGCTGTTGCGTGCCGCCAATTGCTATTTATTGTATTTTCTTCTCAAGAACGTAATGCGACGAACTGATTTGCAAATTAATCGTCCGGAGATTTCTATCCGAGTTCAGTCACGTTTTTCTAAAGTAACTCTGCGTCGTTCGAAACATTGTACCAATCGTTGAAAATCGTAATGTGCACACATTATCTGGGAAAAGAGACGAATAAATAGATGTATTCAAAAGCTATTTTTTTTTTTTATTATTATTATGATGCCTCAATAATTACATCCTGTGGAGCAACCACCGAGTCGAGGTAATATTGTTTCGTTGAACGTCAAACGTCGATGCTAGTTAGTATATCTGTGGGAGACGTGATGTATCCATGTAGTAGAACTGCGAATGTACCGTGGTGAAAAAGTCCATTGAAACATTCTAAACATGAACTCCAGAGTATACAGTGTCCTGATTTCATTCTGGTTATGTTTACTCTTTTATTGGACAGGTGGTGCTACAGAAAAAAGTCAGTTCTTTATTTATTTTCTGTTTCACGCAATTATACAAGTAAAATTTCACTTCGTTTTCAAATACAAAATGTTTAGGATTTCTTGGACCTAAAGGATTCCTGGCTTATAGGACAATTCAAACGTTTCAAAGATACTGTATCTGCAACACATCTTATTCTTGCTCCTGCTGTCAAAGTGTTATTATTTTGTACACTAAAGTTGAAAAAAATCGTAAGTCTGTAATATAACTAATTATTTATTAATTATCTTCGCGACTATGCTTACTTTCCAATTATCTTGAAATTATCGTTTTAATACTCTCTTTAAAATCTTTATTATACCGTGCAGTCTGCATTAATTTTTCTTATCAAAAAAATGGATTAAACATCGATATGACGTTGAACTCCGATATATTAAGAGCAAGTACAATCACAGACTACAAACCATTAAAGTTCTGCACTAATATACCAGGATGTTATTTTTCAACGGCGTGCGTAAATCTACTGGAACTCAATAAATTTCCCAGGTACGACACAAATTATTGATGTAATTCTTATAGATGTAATGTGTAATTCTTAAAGATACCATGCAATTAAATGAAAATTTTACATATGATTGGAAGATCGATCACCGCTTGTCTTCGGTTGGATATTTTCTCTAAAAAAAGGTTGTGGCAATTGAATTATGACTGTGTCAGTATATCAACGGAGTTACCTACAAGTAACGGAACAATGTCAACAATGAATGGAACTAAAGAAATGGGAATGACATCAGCTAAGACCGTTCAAATGACGATGACTACGGCAATGACAACTGCGGTGGAAACTGAAGAGACTACATCGACTGATGTAGAAGTGATAACGGTACCAGGAAGTCAACCAACGACAGTGGTGGATATCGATTAAGTAATAACTAATATAAGAAATACAGCATTATTCGGTAGAATATTTCAAACAGAATTTAATTAATTATAGTGTTAAACCGAATTAATTAAAGAATTGTTTAAATGAAGTTTTCTCTTAAAAGTCACTAAAATTTACTAAAATTTTATTAAAAGTATACTTTAAATACAAACAATAAATAATATTGATTTTATTAAAGTATACTTAAATACAAATAATAATAATCATCGTTTTCTTTCAAATTTCCATTTGTACGTGGGGGCAGCATTCTTTGTTCCTTTCCTTACTAGTTTTGGTTTGGCAATTGTTTCTTCCTTCAGTGCTTTTTCCATTTCTAATTTTCGTTGTATAACACTTAGTTGCTTTTCTCTATCAATTCTCTTCTGTAATTCATTGTAAATTTTGTGTTTATCCTGTTCAAGGTCTTGTAAACTGCTCTCATCTATATTCGGTAATTTCATCTCTTTTAATTTATTTAATTTTGGCCTGTTTACGCGTCTGGGTATCAATGCTGGGTGGGTATCGAGTCTCTTAGCAAGATCAAAGTTCTTCACTTCTGTTGGATCGTCTACAAAAAAGATATGTTTGTTCTTGGTTTCATTTGCAACATCTATCATGTGCAATTGACTTTGGAGCCTATCTACTTTCTTTGCTTCAACATTTCTCTTATAAGCAATATATCTAATATCCTGTGTCTCCATAAGGTGTATCTGTTCCGGTGTATGATTCTTTTGTTTCCTTTTTTCTCTATGAACACCTCCGCCAATTTTAGAATTGATCATGTGATAATAAAATTCATCTGGATTTTTGTTCAGAGCACGTTTGCGCAAAAGTTTCAAGGTTTGCTGTTTTTCTTGGTAATCTTTAGCTCTAGCAATATAATCTTTCTTTTTCTCTAGAAGACCCAGATGTTTGCGGCTCTCTGGTTGATGTCTTTCATGATGAGTTTTTTGCGTAGATTTCGCTGCTTTTTTCCACGAAGACATTATGACAAGCTGAAAAAATCGAAAAAGATATTTTGAATAAATTAAAATGCTTTCTTATTAGTACATATAATTACATATATATAATTTTAAATAATAAAGTACATACTTATTCTTATACACGATTAAATTAAGAAGAATATTACGTTTTCTGAGATGAACTTAAAACAGTAACACAACAACGTGGACGTCATAACGCTGAGTAACATAACCTTAAAGATCAATATGATATTCTTGATCTGTGCGAAACTACAGCAGCGCCGTAAGAATATCTATAATACTAAATCTAAATATCTATAATACTTGTTAAAATATACTTTACTATAATATTTATTAAAATAAACTTTACAATGTTTGTACTTCAAAATTGAAGAATAATCCACGAAATTAATTAAATGATACAATCACAAAATAAAATATTACAATCATTTCAAGCGATATATTAAACATGTCCAATTTTACAAACATGTCTATTTAAAAAGTGACTCATCTCAAATAAAATAGTTTCCGGATAAAACGTAGTATCATAAAATTAATTACTTGAATTTCAATTATTATTCGGTTTGTGTAGATTGGTGTGCTCTATCAGGTAGGGGTAAAACTGTATTGCCAACCGACAACGATCCCTGATGAAATACTTGAGTTTCGGACGATACTCTTCGCTGAGATGAAAGTTGCCGCATCCTCGCGATCGGTTCTCGCGCCTTAATTCTGTACCATCCACGGTGTCGTTTCGCGACAGGACTCAACAATTCAACCTGCTCCGTTGATCTTTGCGATAGTGACACATTTTCGATATCATCTCGTGGTCGTTTTCCCGCTCTTTGTGAAGAGATAGATTCCAAATTTGACATCGAACTGAATCCCGACGTAGACGGTATTAATGCGTTATCTTCTCTTGAAAAGACTTGTCGTTTTTCAATGTTCTTAGTGGTACCGATTGCTGTTGTGATGGAAATAGAGTGTAAACATGAATTCTATTTTCTTTAAAAGTATACTTTGAAAACAAAATGTACACGTACCCGAGAAACTTCTCATGACACTTTTCATTGCATTAGCCATCATAGAAAAAATTCCACTGGAGCTGTTATTATCGGTACTGCTATTCGAAGTTCTATTGACAGAACTGCTCAATTCATTTGGCGATGAGTAATAATTTTGACAAGAAATACTGTAATAACTATCGATGGATGTTATCGAGTTACTACTGCCAGGAAAACTGTTACTTTTGACCAAAAGATTTCTATTTGTAACAATATTTTCTAGTTTCTTTAAACCAGAATTTATTAGATCGGTTGTTTTCTTTTTAGAATTATTCTCCACGAGTACCATTAACAATACCCGCGAAGAATCATCTGACCGTTGTCCGTCGTCATTCATGCTGTTTGGATTATGATTTTCTTTCTCTATATTCTTCGCATTATCTTCATAAATTTTGATCTCCGAGCCTTCCAAAGGCTCTTTCATTTCGGATGTATCGAAATATTCTTCGTTCTCCGTCATATTGATAGTAGCAGCTATCGAGTTAGGTTCCGATGGAGTTTCATGTTGATCAGAAAATCGGACTTTCTTTAAAGAGTCTCGTCGTTTTTCTGTTTGACATGTTTCCAGACTCTGAGAGTTGGGCAATATTTCGCCCTCGACATCCGTCAATTCCATATCTTCCACACAATTATTGTCTGTATAATGTTCGCTGGAATCGTTATTACTTTTGACTTTCATCATTTCCAGACTTCTGGGAAGTTCTTTACTTCCATAGCCCGGTGGCCACGTACGGAACGGGGTTTCTTCGTGATTATTCACAGACGGGCAAGTCACGTAATTGCTCGAATCATCGGATTTCAAGCTGCTTCTTTGTGAACTGCCATGAACTTCATAATTCTTCAACGACGCGGAATCAGTTTTTGGCGTTTTCAAGGAGAAATTCGGAACGTTCGGCGTTTTAAAGTTGAAACCCGTCTTTTGGTCGACAAGCATAGGCGTGCTTGTATTTCGATAAAGTTCCGGGGGTGAGGTCAGTGAGCCGAATTGGGATGGTTCCTTTCCGTCTGAAACCAGAGGTGGTGTACCCAGTATGGACTTTTGTGCAGACACCAGTGAATGACGTTGCTTTGATTTCCACCATTTGCAAGTGCCTTTGTTTGTAGAAAGTAATGCAATATAAACTTTTAATTATGAATAAGATTAAGTGAATCGTAATCACATTGATCGTGAATATTTTTAATGAAAAATAAAGTCAAGTGTAAGGATAATTACCCAACGATTCCAAATCTTTGCTCTGTTTGAAAATTTCACCGCATAAGTAACAGTAAAGAGGTAGATGTCTAGCTACTATGTGAGAAACAAGTGCCTTATCTTCGAAGCATTTCAACGGAAATTTCTGATTCATGCAGAACGGACAGTTCGGATAGCGTTTTGTGTGTTTGTTTTCTTCGTGTCGTTCACGGCACTTTGCACAACAGAATAATTTCTTGCAGACATAACAATTTCGGCTTGTCTATCCAACATACATAAAAGTTTTACAGCGAACAGAGATCGTGTAATTCTTGCTCAAAATGCTAAGAAGTATAGGTAGAAAAATATTTGGATAAATACCTCGACTGAAATCATGATTGAACTAGGTCAAAGTAGCTAAGACGATGTAATGTTTACTACCTTGTTATAGCCAATACAATGCCAATTATAGGTGTATGAAAAAAAAGAAATTGTTTTTGGCACTTGATACTTGCCTAAATTTTGCCGATAATACGCACATTAAATTACTGAAATTAAAATTTAATAATAAATGAAATATCGATTTTAAATATTTTTACTGATTGAGGTTAAGATTTCGGATAAGAACAATTTGTAAAATTTAACCCTTTCGGTGCCGCCATAGTGGCATTTCAGTTTTGTCCTAGAAATCGGTGTCGCCGCTATAGCAGCATGATTTTTGTGTGCACAACTGTTATTTTATGATCTAAAAGTATGATATATATTAATTATTCTTGTGTAAAATTTCACAACTTACTTTTTATGGCTTTAATTGGAGTAATTCTTAATGGGACCAATGCTGGTTGCAAGTATTGTGGAATATTGGTCGATTAGATTCTACAGCAGAATTCTATTCTATTCGGAAGTATTTACAAGAGACAAATTCGGTCAAATTTTTTGGATGTTACATTTACAAAGCGATGTATCAGAAGAGAAACCTATTAGAACCCGCACTGATAAGGCAAACAACTTTTTAAAATATATTGATTCGAGGTTTTGCAGAACATTCTATACCTGGTAAAGATATTTGTATGGATCAGTAGTCAAATTCAAAGGAAAAAATTGCATTCATAACGTATAATCCAAAAAAACGTACTAAGTAGTGTATAAGAGTTTACGTATTAGTGGATGGGGAAATTTTGCCCTATTATGGTGGTTTGACAACTGAAAATTTAGAAAAACTAGAACTTCCGGTTAATTTTCGAATTCCATTAACATTGGTACAAAAGAACTGTATTCGAAAGTTAGGACTATTCCCAGAACTATCAACATATCGGTGATTGTTTTGTCAAATATCATACTTTGGAAAATTACAAAAATTAAAACGTGCACTATGACTAATATTACACAAAATATATCATTTTCAAAATATTCTATGTTTATTATCTTCATATATATATAATAAATCAGCTATGCGAAATAAAATAACTTCAAAGATCTAAATTTGCGCCGATTTTCTGGTAGTCCCACTCGAGAAATGTGCCGATCGCAAAGGGTTAAATCATTTACAAACTGCTACAATATGTTAAAATTATTTGTCACAACAATTATAATCATAAATTGATACACAGTTATAATATATATAATTATAATATAATACGCAAAATTTTACATCATGTTATCAGATTCATCAAACAATTCGGTAAACATTAATTGATCAAGTTCCAATATGTCTTCGCTGTCATCATTTTTGCTATTTTGCAATTTGCTTATTTCACTTTTAGTTATCTCCTTATGTTTCTGCTTCGCTTGTTTTTTCAAATCCGCAATGGTCATGGAATTTAGATTATCTACTACTACGTTGACATCAGACCTTCTAAAATCAGTATCCCTATTCTCCAACAGAGTCAATGCTTCTTGGTATGGTGGTGCAATCGGTGTTTGTACTGGTTCGTGATACGTGTATTCTTTTCCTTCGAACTGAATTAAAAAAGACAGATAATACAGAGTATATGTAATTCTATGCAAAAAACGATAAATATAAATAGCTTACATTTAGTGGATAACAGGTATCAGAGTCAGGCTCATTAAGGTCACCACAAACAATAAATGGAACAACGACTCTATTAATTCCTGTAAGCTCATCAAAGTCGCATGGTTCATGAGTTAAAAGAGGATTTAGCATATGAGGTTTGTAATCTTCAGGAGGTGAATAATCTTTGCAGACTACAAATGCTTCAATGCTGGAATTGCGAGAACTGCTAGGTTTTGTGCAATAAACGTAGGGAAAAAATATCTTCAATTGTGCATATAGTAATGTGACATCTTTAGCTCTAAATATTTTTGCTACAAATGTACCCCCTTGCTTTAGTATGTGAGTAGTAATATTTAGTGCAGCTAATAATAACTGTGACTGAATATAAATATCCATATCGTGTAAGCCTGTAACTGTAGAAATAATTGCTTGATAAAAATTATTACTGTTTATTAGTGAAAATAATACTTTAATATAAGTTTACCATCAGGGGCTCCATCGCAAACTACTAAATCAACCTGTTCATTATCAAAATGGGAAATAATTTGCTTTGCTGTATTAACATTGGTAATATCTCCTTGAATTTGAATTACTCCTTCTAAAGGTGCCATTGCTTGTAAATCAACTGCAACTATTTTTGGAGGTGTTGCGTTTCCAGTTTCTAGAGCTTTCTTGTAATTCTCACTGTTCATGAAAATGTGTAATAAAAATTTTAATATCTTGCAAAACGTTCTTCTTAAAACGTTAACAAACCAATCACAACATACTTTAATTTTCGCGATAAAACCTGACTCCAGCTACCAGGTGCCGCGCACAAATCCACAGCTTTGTTAACTCCTTTTTCAAATCAAACAAAGCATTGTATTTTATGCAATATTGAAGTTATTTTGTATACATACCATCTAAAACGTGACACTCATTATCTATTTGAAGCAATTTAAAAGCGCTCCTTGCTCTCCATCCTTCTTCTTTCGCTCGTCGATAATATATATCTCGTTTATCTTTCGATGTTTTTCCCATAATTAAACGATAAAATACAATGGACCGTTAATTGCACCTTCGTTATACGTTCTGGTCAACTTGCTATCATGTTGTCAAACATAACGATTCTTGGAACTATAATCTAGGATTTTAATGCTAGTCAGTTGGTATGACTAGCAGAAGAACTGCGAAATTCAATATTTGTTTACCAAGACATATGAAATGTATTTCATAATTCTTGAATTAGGAAACAATATTTATGTATCGATTTAAGACCAAGAGATAAATTTCGACCAAAATATTTGTATTATCGAATGCGTCATATAAATGCAACACTTTAACAAATATTATTATCAACCACAACAAAATTCTGATAGATAAAACAGTTAAAGTGGAATAATATGTTTTTGTATCGAAGATCAATAGATGTTCTATATTTGAAAGTAAATTTAATCTGTTCACTTATTAAAATCACTTGCAGATGCTAGTTTGCCAATCAAAGCGTAAAAAAAAAAAAAAAGAAGAAACGCAATGGTGGAAACATCATTATTTCCAGACGCGTGGATGTGCAACGATGATACATTACAGGAAATATTTGAAAATTGCGCTCTTTTATTGCCTTCCTCAACGTTTTATAAACATAAATTTTCTCGAAGATTATTTTTAGTTTCTTTGTTCAGGATTTTTTGAACTAAGTTTCAATAGTAAAAATAATAGATATATAATTATGTTCATTTATAAGCTGTGACAGTTTATAGTTTTATCATAAACTATAAACTATCAACGACGTTTTCAAATTATTATTTTCCGCGAAGCAAGAACGCTTTCACGTTTGTTCAGAATTTCATTTGAATAGCAAATACAGAAAAAAGATTCAGTATCTTTACTATCTGCTATCGTGTAATCACGATTACATTGGATGATCAACGACGTTTGCCGCGAAACGGACGTGAATTTTTGTATTTGCCTGAAAAACGAGTCGAACAAAGTTGTTCTTACGTAATTGCATATTTGCACATTCCCACGGGACGTAGATGATTCTGTTTCGATTTCGTGCTCATAAATAACACAAGCACATGTCTATGAGAATTTGTTCTGACTGATTTGCCTTGCAAAAATATTTCCTGCAGATGGCCTTTTTGAACTTTCGATGCAACGGCGATCACGTATGCAAGTACATATTGTAATAGTGCGTCAACTGAACCTGGTCGTTTATTTTTCGTTATTTGCGTTTCCATCGCGTTGGCGTAAAACTTACTCGATATGAAAAAAATTCGGAATATATGCTGAACGAAGGCAAGAATGATCGTGTTAATCCGCGGTAATCGTTAACCAGTCACAATGATAATCGTCTAAATATTCTTAGGCTCGATAAGGCGTACTTTTAGATACGTGGCAGATTTTGTCGGAAAAACTGCAGCCAGAGATCTCTGCATAATGTATGAGCACCCTGCAACGGAGAAAACGCTGTTTCTAATGAGACTGTCATGAATTTTAAATGAAGCGTGGTTCTTTTTTTAGCGACGTTTAATATATCATTCAATGTAATTGTAATATAGCATGGATATATATATTTAATAACTAGTATGTGCATCTCTACGTATTATAGATATGTATTTCTCAACGAGTCTCTTTCTTATCGGTTTCCAACAACCTTTGGTATTTAGTGCACGCGATAACTTGACAACATCTTGGTAACAGGAATGTAAATAATTGTAATCGCACAAACGGCTTGTTCTCAATCAGGTTTCGTTATCACGTAAATCATCTTCATCGATGTGAATGACCCAACGCCAAAGTTATCTAATTATTACGAAATAGATCATCTTAAGAATATGTGCTTCATTCAAGTGGAAGGAGGAGTACGAAAACGAAAAAGGGACTATCGATTTATTGAACGACGATCGTATCAATAATCAATCCACATTGATTATGCCACATGTACACTGTTCGATAACGATAACATTCAGGGGGTTATCGCGACCGTATGTCAGAAATAGTTGCTTCTATGAGCGAACAATAATTTCTCTTCTAGTGAAACGTATTCGTATGCATCTCGAATCATGTCAACGAGTGCTCGTCGTTAAACCGAAGAGTTTATTCTTCGCGAGGATTACATAACGTCTGGCGGATGGCAAATATACGCACGTGCATTCTGTTCGCAACGAAAATTTCGAACGAGATACGTTTGTCTTGCTGTTACGACCAAAGACGTTCGAACAAGAATGACCAGGAATCGATTACGGCCAGCTTTGCGTTTATAATTGAAATTCTAAAATGACCCAGTTGTTATTTTTGGAGCGTGAGATTCTGAGCTGCTCGCCCTCCTCCCTTCTGATAATGCGCACTCTCGCACTACCGCTGGTTTCTTCAAAAGATATTGGCTTAATACATTTCATCAAGTGTGACCTTAATCGAGCGGTTTTGCAACGAGCGCCTTCCCGTGCTGGGACACTTTGCGCCGCTTCGAACTAACGCTGAAAGAATTCATTGTCCGTGGCGCCGCAGTGCGCGATTGTAACTTGGTTGGTACAGTCTCGTCCTACGTCTAAAAATATATAATGGCGTCGCAGGAAATTCGTTCCGCGAAACTTATATTAGACGTACGATCTTCGTTCTAAAGCCACCGAGGGTATATCAAACAGATTCGATAGGATCGTGGATCGTTCCTCGATCGAAAAACGACAGGAAGAAACGAATGTTTCTGTAGCATGTGTTCAGCAAGCAGATGAGCAATTTGCACTGTCCGGTACGTTCAGTATTAGATGAAGGGAAGTCCCGAGAGGAAGGCGCGAAACGTACGAAATATTATTATGCGCGATGCAGAGAAGGTCCTCGGACAACCGTGACACTGTTTTCTCCAGGAAGCACACCGCTCTGAATTAATATCGTTTGACATTGCTCGATTGAAAAGCCGAACTGTAGGAAACGTAATTACGACGACCTTCCGAGATGTCCGGGGAATCTCGATGGCCGGTCTTGCCACTCGCCTGGTGAGTTCATCCGGTGATGAATGGCCAGTCAACAATGTCATTTGTCAAGCTGCGAACATAATCGTTCGCTCGCATGAGTTACGTTGCCCGTTATCAGACTGAACGTCAGAACCGTTCTTCACGATTCACGTTGGTGGATGAAACGTGGAATAGAGACACCACCACCTGACTCTACGTCAGCAGCGTCGAAGATTTCATATGTTCGCGCACGATTCGACAGCGACACGTAGACGTATGCCTGGCTCACGATAGGTAACACGTGTAATCGGCGTCGTTAAAGGTTGACCGGGAAAGGACATGCTGCGACGAATAGTCATGATACAATTGTCCAGCGTGTACGAGGCTCGACCTTCGCTTGTCGCGGGAAACCTACGTAGGAAAATAAGCTGCACGTGTCTGTCACGAAAGTGACACACTAATTGAGCGTCGTGCACCGTGAAACGGAATTAAGAAAGATTGCCAGTATCGTTTGTTCGCGTTTCCTGCGCGCGACACGAACTGCGTCCGGCAGAGCCGCGAGAATCTCCATCGAGTCCACCGTTGAGCGAATTTCAGCTCAAGGCCGGCGTATTCAATCTAGCATGCGATTTCACGAAAACAACGCGTGAATCAGTCTCGTGGCCGAAAATCTGCTTATCGATCGACCACGTACATATCTCTCTGTTGTTCATTCTCTTCGCTCTACGCGATCTTCCTTGACTCGCGCACAGATTTCGTTCCATCTCCGGACAATGTAACCCGTTTCGTAAGACGCGGTCGAATCAACGTATTACGAAATCGAACGATCATTCTCGATCTTCATTATCGTGATCGTTAGTCGTTAATGACACTCTGATACGACCCAAATTGATAGGACGCGAATTACGACGGACAAAGTCTGATACCCGGAAACAGGGTGCAGCCGATGTGGGCACGACGAACGTTTTATTGTCAGCGACAATCAAAGAATTGAAATTCGGTGGCACTCGGTCAAAGGCCTATCACAGAGAACTATGTGTCAATTCGAGCTACATATTCCAGAATGAAAATTGCTTATAAATGAATTCTCAGGGTTAACTATCGATAACATTTAGTACATATGTATGTCGGCTATGGGAGAGACAAGAAATGAGACGACAGAAGAATCGGCTGGCACGACAATCGTGAGCCGACTGTTTCTTAGTCCGTTCTGGCCTGGTGAAACGCTTCAGAGGCAGAGTGCGCGAGCGGAATGTTTATTGCCGATCGGCAGAGCCGAGTCGAGCCGAGCTCGAAGCGGTCGCGCCTGCGTCGCCGTCGTATAACTCGCTGATTTCGCCTGGAGCTTGTTTATTTCAAACCTGAAACTCGCCGCGGCAACCACGTGCTAACGCAACTGCTGAGTACAAGCCACTCGGACTTGGACTGTCTTCTCTGTTTGCGGGAACGCTTCTCTGTTCTCGTTCGATCGCGAACGAACGTTCGAGCACCATTGATTGAAAGAAAACGGAGCAGTCGGGAGGAAAAATTTTTAAAAAGAAAAAAAGAGTTCTCGTGAATCGTGTATTGAAAAAAAAAAAAAAAAAAATAACAATAATAAAATAGAGAAAAGGGGGAAATAGAAAGGAGCAGAGAGATACGCTTACACTTGTATGAGCGTCGGTGTTGGAGGAAGCGCGCTCGAATTCTCCTTTTTACAGAATTGCCACGCTTCGTCGGCGCATCGAACTTCTTCTAGAAGTTACCACACGATAGCCGCGGACGCTCTCGCGCCGAACATATCGATCTTTCCTTTAGGACAGTTTAAAGGGGTCTGTTTCAGTGTAGTGCGTGACGATTCGGAAAAAGAAGACGACGACGAAGAAGAAGAAGAAGACTCTTCGAACAACACCGCTGTGATACGCTTTCTCAAAATCGTCTTTACCGCTCTGTGATCTGTGCTTTGTGATAACAATATTTATTCTTTTACGAGAACTTTTACATTCATTTCAGTCCCGATTTATCGTAATCCGTTTCAAGGGTCACCGCGTTTAATCGACGACTGACACATCGTGATTAGGTGAGTGTTACCATTCTCCTTTTTTTTATTTCTTCATTTCAGAAAAAGCTCATCGCTCGCATCGGTAGCTGTTTTCCGAGCATCTCGTTGCAATGTTTTACTACGTTCTATGCTCAACGCGTACGCGCATCGAGCGTTATCTCAGCTGTCGAAAAAAATTGCTGCCTGACAGCGGTTCGCTATCGTTGTTTCGTTCCTCTTAAACACGAACGTCCAATGTTTACACTCGTGACGTACGTTCGCGCATCGTCGTTGAAATGCACGTCCAGATTTGGACTGAATTGGCCAGAAAACCATTCACCGAAACGAAATTTCAGTTAACGTTTCCGATTAATTGGGGAACAGAGATTAGAGAAAATCGTTGGACTCGCATCACACGAACTTCAATTATGTTAATAATTGCTTATCTTCCGGAAGTGTTCAGATAAGTGGAGTTCCCCTGTTCTCCGTTAATCGTGAACGGTGCAATTTCGAGTCACAGAAATAGCTAGAAGTGTTGCTCCTCCGAGCAACTCCTGAACAATTTCACCGAAACAGAATTGAAAAGTTTAGCATATAATTGTCCGTCCTGAAAATTTTCTTCCGTGAAACGGCTAGGCGACTTGGCTAACTGTAGCACCATCCTTTCACGCGGCTCGTTCACTGGAAGAAAAGAAAGAGATATGCACGTAGACGGGCAAAGAAGAGCAAAGAAGTTGCAGAAGTAGAAAGGAACTCGATGTTGACGACGTTGATTGCGTGAAAAAAAAAGAAAAAGAGGAGTAGCATGACCGCGAAACGACTTGAACTCGGTTATGAAAACGGATCGCGTGGCCGGCCAACTTACCGACAATAGTTGAGTCTGCCCGCTAGAGGCAACGACTATTATTTAGAGTCGCCGGAGCCCCGAGCGAGAACCTAGAAATGCTCTCAAGGAAAACGGACTTCTTGCCACGGAAGCTGTTTCCAACAGGGTCGTGTGATAAACTGCGCGAGCAAAGACATTAATGAATTGTATTCTTTAACTTATTAAGAAGCAATTGTAGATAAGCGAACCTAAGTGAAAGAACTATCGATTGGAATTCTTCGAGTAAGAAAAAAAGAAAAACAGATAACTTGATGTCAAATTCATTGAAAGAAATTGGAGCAAGCACTTTGAACCTGTTATCAAAAATGCAATGAAATTAATCGAACTGAATTTCGTTGAACCGTTGCATCAATTAAGTTTGAGGAAATTATGAATAGTAAAAGTCTTTGTTTAACAAAACGACAGGAGATTGACATGTAAAATCACGTTCGAATAAGTATCTGTTTCATCACTTCAGCAAGAAAAACAATACGAAGGAGGAGCGTTTTTTGCAAGAGATGAAAAGAATGTAACACGCGCGTTGTCTATGTCGTTTCGATCGACGATTTTTGTCAATTAGATTAATTACAATTAAGAGCAAGTTCGAAATCAATAGAAGATACGACGCGTGCGATCTATTTAGAAACTAGGACACAGTCTCGAGGTTGATTCGATCCCGACCGAAATAATCTTCCGGAAGAAACGAAGACGAGAGAGACGTGTGTCCAGTTTGGACAGAGATTCTCTAAAACCAGAAAACGCAAGGACGTCGTTTTAACACAATTAAGAAACGTTTCGCTGTGTGCTCATTTACTGCGAAATGAAACCATTCACGTGGCTTCTCTCTCTCTCTCTCTCTCTCTCTCTCTCTCTCTCTCTCTCTCTCACTCGTTCTTCCGTTCCATTTGTGAAAATCAGTCAAAGTTAAAACGCAATTTTTCCGAAGATATACGTCGGGGAAGTAGAATAAAAAGTTCGAATGAGCAGCTGTTTCTACTTTATCATGATCGATCGATTAATATGTGATATTTGTATCAAAGTTAACACTTTGTCGAGTAATTCCAGTTTGCGAAAGCAGCTACCGATGCCATTATGCGTGCGGCCAACAGATGTTTTTTATTTCTTGAAAAACAGTCTGACCTTGTATTTTTCTTTTTCTTTTTTTTTTTTTGATAATTTACACAGACTTCGTTTGCGGCAAGCGTTAATCAATCCCATCGTACGTTGACTTTCCTGTTTCAACAGTTGGCCCGATCACCATTGACGCTGGCCGATTTTCTAAGAAAATATCGACCTGCCCACACGAGTAACGTGAAAACCTACGCTGGGAAATTAATCGGGACGCGACAAGAGAGAAAGAAGAAAAGATAAAGAGCACCGAAGGGGGAAGAACCATTTTCGAACGTGCTTCCGAGATTACGCGGAACGTTCCTTTTTTTCTGAAACCAAGTCGTCGACGATAATTGATTTTGCTCTCGACAAGACTGGAAGCACCAAGTTAGAAAGGGAGGGCACGTGTGACGAAAAGGACAAGTGAAACCAAGTCGATTGTGTGGCTCTGATCGATCCGATATTAAACCAGCGCGCGAGAAAGCTAGAATCGGCTTTAGTCGAGCGCGTCCGCCGCCGAGAAGAAAGCGAGAAAGAAGTTTCTCGAAGCTTGGCTGCCGCTGCGACTGCTATCGCTGGTGCTGTCGTTGGTGTTGACTCTCCTGGAACATCGAAGGTAGGGGACGAACCTGTTCGGTTCTGCATCGTTGCTCCAACAGGGAGGCGGTACCGTATCTGTCGCGTTCGCATAGGTCACGGTTCCATTGACGTAATTTTCCACGAATTTCCGGAACGCGACATACAGTTCGTACTCGTCCGTTTTAGTTTACAAGCGATACGTTGAACTCTACCGTGGGCCAAATTGTCGAAAATAAATCACGAAAACGGTCGGCGCACTGTAAATAGTTTGCCGATGTTCTCCGGCCAATTTCTTCTAGGCGCGCGTCGACTCAAGGATTTTGCATTCGTTTGCTGTCGCCGGAACCCTGATCGATCGATCCTTGAATTTTTCGATCTTTGAATTTTTGAATCTCCAGCGTTTTTTTTTTGAATAAAAAGCACATTCTATGTAATTCGCGATAAAAACGGAGAAAAATTAAGTATTACGTATCTATATATAAAAATACGAGACTTTTGCAAAGTCTTTCGGAATTTTTGTGCAAACGAAGCAGATTTATCGTCGATCATTCTCGGTTTCAGTATTCAACTGTGGAATCGAAAGGAAGCGGTAGTTATCCCCGGTTCAATATAACTGACGGGTGCATAATTGCGGGAAGAAAACACGGCAACGAAAGGAAGAAGAGAAGTTTCTCGAAGCTTGGCTTGCCGCGCGCGCGCTGACTCCGCTCTAACACGCTCGAAAAGGAGAAGCGCCAGCGGACGATAAACACGACAGAGAAAGAAAGAGGGAAGGACGGCGTGCCGTCATCTCTGAGAACGAGGGAAAGAGAGAGAGAGAGAGAGAGAAATTGGATTCTTGATCTGGGACAGATTTAAAAGGCCCAGGTGCTTCGTCCAGGCCCTTCGATAGTGCCACATTTCAGAAACAGAGTCAAGAGGAAAAGAAAAAGGTCTGGGGAGAGAGAAAACAGGATTAACGACGGTGATTCCGCGGTGAAGGAAAAGAAGAACGAAGTCTGACAGCTGGTGAAAAAAGGCGAGCAATAACGAGCAATAACAGAGAGAAAGATAGAAAGGAAAAGAAAGTACTGTTTCACGTTGGTACACCTCAAGATGGCAAAGGGGAAATCGGTTTCGGAGCGGAACAACGACGTGTTCGACGAGGAATCGGTGGCGGTGCGATCGCGATGGCGAAATCTCGCCGCATTCTGGATACTCGGGCTTTGCAACAATTACGGATACGTGGTGATGCTTAGCGCCGCGCACGACATCCTCGAGAGCAAATTTGGCACGACGGTAAGTGGTAACTCTCTTTCATCGATTCGCTGGAGAATCAGTTTCGTTTCGAGTCGATTCTTACGATCTTTTCTTTCTTTTTCCATTTTGTCTAATTTGGAGAAATAAAAAAAAAAAAAAAAAAAAAAAAAAAAAAC